CTCAACAACGCATTGACAATGCTAACTAAAGGTTAATAATCCAAGGGAGCAAAATTTCTCCAAAATATACGAATTTAAAAAGGAAAGAGTTAGCGAGGCCCAGGCATTCCGATAACATGTAAAGAGTCACTCCATATCCCATTAGAAAATTTAGCTTGGACATATGGAAAGTCTCAAATTGATTATTTCAACCTCAATTGTTATGTATGTGGAATCTATGGATTTCAAATCTAGGTATATTTTATCTAAACTCTACATTTTCAAGTGTTTTCAGATCTTTGAGATCTACACCATGTTTGGAGCTTCAACTTTTTGTAAACCGGACGTTTTCAAGCCATTATAAGGTTTTCCAACAAAGGATCTACATTTTTTAGGAGGTTTTGAGGTGTGGTTTTACTTTTTTATCACAAAACCTAGCCCTCATATTATCCTAATGTATACAAATAAAAATTAATATTTAACAATCTTAATTTTGTTCTTCAAAAGTCAACAATATTAAGATTTGGTTTTTGAATGCATGTATCCACTTTCCTCCCTAGTTTTGTTAAGAGACTGATTACCATGAAACCATTTATCTTTATTACAAGAAAGTCACAATTGCTCCTATCCATTAGATGTCAAATTGGATGATTTGGGGTGTGTCATGCGTAGAGGATAAAAAAACAAGGTTTGAGAAAAATAACAAAAAGAAAAATAATACAGAAAATTAAAAGAGAATGACACAATGAGTTATATAGTTCGGCAAAATTGCCTATGGGGTAGCAACATTCTCTTTAACTAATAAAAAAAATACCATGCAAGCATGAAGAATACAAAGATTTACAAACTCTCCCAATGCGCTAAAACAGAGTTTTTATCTCATCAAAACACCCACCCAAAGGCTTAAGGAACGTACCCTCTTTTGTTGCATCTTATTTCCTTGTGTTAAAGATAACTAGATTACTAAGTGAAAGATATTTAATGAATTTTGTCCGATGCAATGTTGTTCAAAACAAATATTTTTCTAATGTAATAAAATATTTTACCATGCTCATTTATTTAGGAGTGTATCAATTAATTTAGGGTATGGTTTGCATAAGGCATCCTTATCAAACAACCAAAGAGAAGGCACCACCAAACCTGCCAGAAGATATATTTCCAATGCAATAAAGTCTTAGGATATTTTGAAAATCTATTTTCACTCCTGATTGTGAAAAATCATCTTTTATTTTATGATTTTTTTTTTTTAAAAAGATTTAATAAAAATTATTTTTTTGGCTATGTAATATTAAAATTCAAAAAAGACGTAAAAGCATGCTTTCCACATAATTCCAGGGGGACCACTTTGGGACTTTTAGGTAGACAGAATTTTGGGTTCTGAGCTTGAATTCAGCCCCTGAATAGGTTTTAGGGGTTGCTTTTAGGTGGTTATTGGTGAAGACTGAGTTTGATAGGGCCTTGGTGGATGCTAAATGTTTACATCCAAAATTACGGCTAGAAAGAACATATCTTCCTCCACCTTAGTATGTGAAGAATTAAATTAGTAGGATAAGATAGAAATAGGGTCCCCATCAATTACAGACCCTATGGGACCCTAAGGGGTTGCATTTGACTTTCTTTCTACAGTCCACTGGCCGCACTGGCTAAAGTTTCACCAAAAATTGAAAAGAAAATGTAGAAATAATTTAAAAAATGGGGATTTTTGGAAGACATTGGAAATGGAGAAAGGTTCGCAAATGAAACAAATAAAAGGATAAAGAAGAGAAATGTGGGTTTAGTAAACCCAGCCCACCAGTTCGACACCTAAAGTTGGGGCCTCAGAAAGACGCAGTACGAGGTAACTGCTCCCTTAGTCTTCCACAAACCTTGAGCCAGGAAGGCTTCCTGTTGGAGTTGGAATGCGATTGAAAAGGGCTCGGAGGCTTGAGTACCTTAGTCTAGTGTCCATGTAATACACCATAGACTCAACTGGAGGGATTTTTGAGTTGCTAATATTTTAGAGGTATCTAGGACTTCAGGGTTTAAGGGGTAAAACAATGAACAACGTTGCGAAACCCTAGAATTCTAACCATGAAATTGAGGTTTGAAGTGGTATCTATAGTGTCTAGGGCTTGTATCTGACTCATTCTCACCTGATGCATTTAAAAACCCCATAAAAAAAGCCTGTGTTTGACTTGACCAAGTGGCAGCTCAATCCGAGCCATCCATATACCTATGATGTGAATCACATACTTGATGATGAGCTTTGTGTCTCTAACAGTGCGCTTTGCGGGGGAATGGGGGTAAGGACGTGATGGTAGCACTCATACTTTAGTCATTACGTTGTGGTTTCCATTCTCACTACTATCACCACCTTATTAACACCTTCAAAAAAGTAATCCCTAATCTACTTGAAAAAATGGGTAAGGCCTGTCTCTCCAACTAAATTACCCCAAAAAAAAAAATTGCGCTTTGCGGTGTTCATGGGTGGTGGGCCCGGATTGAGATGGTTCCTTCTCCTACTTCTTGTTTGGTTGTTTCTTGGGATTTTGAGGCATTTTTTTGGGTTTTTGGTACTTGTTTATTATATTATTTTATTTTAAGAGCTTTTTTATTATTATTATTTTTATTCATTTTAAAAGAGTTACCAGGTCAAACATAGGGTTTGTGCAATTAGGAGAGTGGCTAAATCGTGATCATGTTGGAGGTCTCCTAATATATGTTTGGCTTTCGTTTAGAAGGTTTAGAGTTGGTTATTGGGAAGTTCTTTAACCTAATTTCAGAAGTTTTTACTAATGATCTGGGCTAATTTTTAAAGTCTTCGTCCACTAAGTCGGTTTAAGGCTATCTAATTAGGGTTTCACTAAGGGTCTTCTTATTGTATTTTTAGTTGTTTCTTAGAGTGCATGGAGTATGGGATGTAGTGCTGTATGGATTAATAGGCTTGTATGGTCCATTGTGTAGTTTAGGGTAGGAAAAGGATATTTTAGGTGGACAAAAACCGGGTTTTAGGTCCCGGGTAGGTCTAGGAATGTGGCTAGGTGTGAACCCTAGAGCTTACGGTTGTGGTTACCTATAAACTCCCTTAGCCAAAGTAGGGTGTCTAAATAGGCACATCCGAAGTGCAAAACATTTTCCAATTTGAATGTATAAGTAGTTGTGAAAACATAAACTTCTCGTTTTTGGCTTCCTCATAGAAAAACAGTTGTCGTGGATTTTATGGAAGTGTTCTGAGACTCGGGTAGAGCCACTTGAACTCGGCCGGGTAGTTTTGGGGAGTAGGCTGCACGACAGTTTTTCAAAGTTTAATTATATTAATACGTCAAGTTTAAGTCAAATGTCCTTGAATGGCTTTACAACTAGTCCTCCTGCTTTTCTTCTAATGTGGTCGGTGCTCAAATTCAATTTTTTTATATGATGGGAACAAAATTCGAATCCCATAGGTAATGGGAACAAAATTCGAATTCCACTGGAGAACAAAATGTAGGCCTGCTAAGAATGGAAGTCAAAACCTCTTGTAAAGAAGTCTACTTGCTACTTGCTTCATTAATTGCTTCATTAAAGTGGTGCTTATATTATAATATATCAATTTTTTCTTTTTATTTTCTTTAAAAGAAAAGATGAGAAGGACTCGGACGAGGTATTTGGACACATCCAAGTAACTTGTCTTGGCTAAAGTCCCAGTACCTTGGCCGAGTCGATTTTTTATACCCTGCTTTATGATTTATTTCTTCTACGCATCAAAAGTAATGCAAAGAATTCAAAAGAGAAGGGTAGATATAACCTGTAGCAACTTAAGTAATGAAAGTTTCATATTCAATACTTAAGCCGATGAGTGTGTGGATGGCCAAATCTTATTTTGGAACTAGATCTTGTGCTCCTGCACGTGCAACTGCAATAGATTTGACTTTTTTTAGATAATAACTCATGGATTGTTCATAGTTTGTAGCTCATAATGAAGTTGGAGAATATGTGTCTTTGGGTGGTGATGATAAAAAACAGTTTAGTTTGTTCTATAATTTTTTCACACAATAACTTGTGCCAAGACAGGGTCCATTAAGGTTGAGTTAATCCCACTCGAAACGAACAAAAGCCAAGTTAAGTAATCTGGATTGATTTTTAGTTTCTATTACGTTCTTCGCATTTGAGAAGCTTCATCGAGCCGGGTGAGAGTCGTATACAAATTTGTTGAGATTCTGACTACTTAGGATAGGCACAATCTGAGGTTTCCATAGCGGAAATAGTGAACTTCGCTGATAAAAGATAACCTGTGAATTGAAGCTACCTCCGATCGTGGATGAAGGAACAAGGCCCTTATTGCTCTGATACCATACCAGAAAAATGTCTTGTGTTCCTTCTTGAACATATGAAGTTTTCATTAAACAGAAGTGTCCCTATGACTCTTACATGTGGTTGTGATTAATGGTTACAATGGATGAGCCATGAGGATGTTACAGCTTCTTTCAGGACATCTTTATTTCTTACATTATTTTGGTTTTTCTATCTACAGTTAGAGAACAAAACCAATATATAATCCTGTCCGGATGGATCACAACTCGAGGGCACACACAAGTATAGCTCAGCTCAAGGTTAATTCAAGGTTTTGGGCATCCAAAAGCACTCTATAACTCCAGCTAATCCACCCGAAAAATGAGAAATGCATAATGCCATGAGGTAACATGAAAGAAATAAGAGATAAGGAAGTACTTCAAAATACATTGGAAATCTATTTCAGAGCCACGCAAAAGTTACAATAAGAACAAAGCACACAGTTCCAGGCTCCTTATTATGATGCAACCAACACAACACACAGTTGCAGACTCCTTATGTAGAATCAATCTATGTGATAGGAGGAAATAAAGCCGACTTAGGACCGAAATATTTGAACATATTAAGAGGAAGACTGAAAAGACACCAACAACCATAGAGGGATTTCATGTTTTGAATCTTGATAACAACCTCAATGTTTACTCCTTTAGACATGAGGCTTTCGCTCCTCTCCTAACTTGAAGTCAGTTATTTGAATTGCAGTCTTTGTCTTGTCAAGATTGCTGACGCTCCTCGACATGAAGAAATCTCCCCACTTGTATTCTTTGAATAGGCTTAACCATCACATGATATGAAGGTGAAGCTACAGTGACCATCGAGAACCTCTCTTTCTCCGAGTTTACGACAACTCTATGCACGATGCACTCATATTCCTCGTTGCTCCAAACCTGTTAAAATGTATATAAGATCAGTGTAATTTTGTAGTGCAAACACAATGAAAATAGTTGAAGAAAGCTCATTGGCATAATTTAGAGGTGGAAAAGTTTATAATTCCAGACAATCCTTAACATGTTTTTATGTTTAAGTGTTACTTGTGCATATTTAAAGATAAAAAATACCCACATGTATATGTTATACATAGAGATGGGATATGTTTGATTATTCCTTCACACGGAGTATTGTCTTAAATTACTCAACACTCATTGGACATTTATTCTTTTTTTGTGATACAAAAGATTTTCAAGTAAGGGCACTTATTTTTATTAGTAAGGGGTAGAATAAATATTTTTTTATGAATAGAACAACATTTTATCATAATCTGACCGATTAATACTTTATGTGAGTAACATCGCAACTAATGAAGCTGTTATGCATCCCAAGTGGGGTGCTGTCCAAGATAGTTAATAAAACAACTCCGTCCCACAAAAATTTCTTCTTACCCTTAATTAGTTACCTAAAACGCTCCTAAATTTAATTTGTTCTATTGTACATTAAGATGTCAAGTGTCCAAAATATTGAATAGGCTAAGAATAAACTCCATAAAAGGGAACAACCAAACACGATCCAAAATAGATATTCACATATATTTATAAGAGCTACTTCTATAATTATGTTAATTTCACGCTTAAAGTATAGTTTTACATGTAAGGGTTATATTAAGGTACTTATACATATTAACTTAATCTATTCACTATTTTTTGACACTCAATACTCTTACTCCACATAGTAACCTTTTTGCCTAGGGGTATTTTAGGTTATTAAACATAAGTAAAATTTAAAGTCTTGATAAAAATAAGAGCATTTATTACTTATAGTCCAGGATGACATCACCCACATGGAGCAATGATTGTTTTTTTACCAGCAGTAAATGCAATTACTTTTTTATAGAAATATTTATCATACTGTTCCTAATAACAAAAAATGCCCTTACTAAAAAAAATTTGTGCTATAAAATAAGGGTATATGAGTGTCCAAAATAGTTGAACCTTCATAGAGTAAATTACATGTTTGCAACCATGAAAACCTCGATGTAAACCCTGATCCAATATATTTTGGTACTAAATGGATAGTGGGTTCATTTTAATCTAAAGGAACAATTTGGTAATTATGAGAGTGTGTAATGATCTCATAATAAACAAATAAAATTTTAACAACTCTTTTTATAATTTATAACCGATTCATCCATTGTCCCATTCTTCATTTTTGGGAAAGGCTAGAAATTTGTTTTTGGTGAAGGGGGACGGGGTTGGGTCAGATCATAGGGGAAACAATTCACTACTCATGGTAGGAATGAAACAGAATGAAACAGAAGATTTCATGTTGTGGCACCAATTACCCTGACTGCTATTCCTTATGTCCATTCCTATTTACTGAAGGCTAGATTAGTTTTAACCTTTGGATGTTTTGTTATGCATTTCCTCCCAAACCACTAAAGGAAGGTCTAGCTAACTACGCATGTATTTTTTGTCTAATACCTGTAGAACACCTGCCATGATGACCACCACTGAATCAGGAATGGGTCTCAGTCGGAGCCATTCACCGTCCGATTTTCGCTTCACCTCGAGCCCACTGACTCCATTTGTGGTCAGGAGGGTCAAGATAGCATGGTCCTTGTGAGCTCCTTTGCCTAAAACCAATTCGGGAGAAGGGCATATTGGAAAGTAGTTGATTCTAGAGTAGTTCATGTGGTTCTCAAGGTAACGGTTGAAGCCATCAGCTGGTAAGCCTAGGCTGAGGGCGATGAGCTCTAGCAATTGGCACATCAATTTTGAAGCAGCCTGAGTAAATTCCTTGCAGACTTTCCTGTCATGGAAAAAATTCAAAATTTATGCTATTTATGGAGAAATAGGTGTAAAACCTTATGAGGTTCTTGGGTATTTTAAGGGAAAATAAAAGGGGAGAAAAAAATAGATGTCCTGGTTGTGTGACAAAACTTAGATAATAGCTTTTTCTACTAATTGGATTGACAGGAAATATTAAAGGTGTTTGTGCGCCCCTTAGGCTCAACTAAAAAATATAAAATTATTTAAAAAATAAAAATATATCAAAATATCTTTGAAACATTTAAGAGTATTTTGGTCAATTTTTAAGTGTTCCTGAATGAGCCTCGTAGTTCCTTTAAATTCAAATTAAACATAGTTGCCGAAATAATTATGAATGCCCATTTTCTTTTCTTTTCTTTTCCTTTTTTAATATGAAATGCTTTTTTTAATATGAAATGCTGGGAGAGTTCCATGTTCCCTTTAAATGTTCATGATACTATACTTTCCATCTAATTTATTAAAGGAAAATGTTTGTATAAGGTTGCAACCTTAAAATGTAGAATTAAAGATGCACCTCAAAAATCTATTGGAACATGTTATTTTAATGTTGAAAAACCCTCTAATTGATAATCTCGACATCGAGATGCATTAATATGAAAAAAGAAAAAAGAATTATTTTGAGTCCCAAAAATAGTGCCTCTTGCAACACATTATCTAGCCCGTCCATTTTCAAGATTTTCATATATTTATAGATCTACTTGATTTTAACATTTTTAGTATTTAAAATTTTATAATTAGTTATGAAAATAGATTTTCAGATAATCCTAAGAAATTTTTACACAAAAATATCATATTACAATAAAATTTGGAGTTGCGCCTTAATTGGATTGTTGAAGGTTGCAAATATATAGAAACCACACCCTTAATGAAAAAAAAAAGAAAAGAAAATGTGCACAAATTTATACCGTAAAGGACCTGGAATTCATTTTAAGAAAAAGGAAAAAATATTTTTAAACCCAAATAAAAGACAAAATTACCAATCCCAAAATCACATATGATAAAAATGTGAAAACTCACCAATATGGAACATCATGGATCAAATCCCATATCTATGTAAGTAATAAGAACGAAAACCAAACCTAGTCTTTGGGCAAGCTTCGTTCGTAGGAAATCTCTATTTGAAAGAGAATCCCGGCAGACCACTGCTTTCGCATGTTTGATTCATAGGAAAGCAGACTTCTTTCTCTAGTATGGGAAAATGATTTCATACTTACTGTTGTATGAAATCGAATTCCCATATGTGGACTTTAAATATTGGAACTCTATTGATGATTGAAAAACTACGCAGATCCTCAAAAATAGTTAAGTATATAGAAATCTAAGGAGTAGGAACAAAGTTCTTCCAGAAGGTTTATATATGGCATCAACCTTAAATTATAAAAAGTAAGGCCAACGCCAAAAAGCCCATTGGAAAAAATTGTTCTGGTGCTGAAAAAACTTCCCATTTGTTATTTCAATCTTGAGGTCAATAGCTATAAAAAAAAGTGTTTATATATATATATATATATATAAATATGCTCAAGCTTATATGTCAGTGATAATGGACATCTCAAAATCCTTGGCTTTGGGATGTCTGAAGTTACTAACATCGAACACCTTGTCCAAGGCAAGAGACTTATCCGATGTTAAAAATATCAAACGGTCCAAAGGCAAGGATTTGGAGATGTTAGGTTGTCTGATGTTGCTAATACTAGACACCTCATCTGTTGTTAAGAGACCTGTCCAACGTTGAAAATATCAGACAGCCCATAGCCAGGGATTTAAACATGTTAGAATGTCAGATGTTGCTAGCACTGAACATCTCAATCCTAGGTATGAGACATGGCCGTTGTTGCAAATATTAGATAGCCCAAAGACAAAGATTTGGAGATGTCCAATATGACAAGCGTTGAAAACAACATATGCTGTTGCAAATATCAAATAGCCCAAAGGCAAAGATTTGGAGATATCCAATATCACAAATGTTGAACACAACGTATGTTTTAGGATGGTCCAACATCATCAATATTGAATAGACTAAGAAATAAGGGTACAATGATATTTAACGAGCCAATGAAAATAAAAAAAAAATTAAAAAGCCAATTTCCCACTTATCCGATGTTGGAAATATTGGATGGGGGGTCAAATTATAAAAAATTTAAAAAGGCGAACAGTCGACGGGGAAGGGGAGCTCCATGTAAGTTTGGAGTAAATATGGAGCATATTGTAATAAATGGGAAAAAAACTGATCCCTACATAGATGTTTCATTTCATAATTCATAGTAGGAATAGATTTTCAAGGAATCTGGGACCAAAACTGCTTTTGCTCTTACTTCGGTTGTTTAAGGTTGATACCTTGTATAAACTGCACCCAAACTTCTTCTAAGAAAAAAGCACATATGAGCCAATCTCCATGAAAAGGGAAAAATAAAGAGAGAGGATACGGGGTCACATCACTCTTTGAATCAAATATCCTTTCTCTGTCGATCCACAAACACACAATCAGGCAGTTAGTATGCAGCATAGATGAGCTCTTTATTAGAGCTTTACAGCTGATCTTAATGTTCGTATATAAGTTGCCTCCATTTCGAATGCTCAAAAAAAAGTTGCCTCCATTTTGTGGAACATTTGAATCCTATTTTATCCTAAACAAAAAATCCTAGTCATCGTACAAAATGAAGCTTAAATTTTTAATAGAACCTTCGGTTATAAAGATGGTAGGATAGATGATGGAATTGAGGAAGAGATAAGGAGTTTTGTATATGTTCTTGTGTGGAAGTGTGTGTGGGGGTGTGTGTGAGAGAGATGGGGCCTTTCAGATACCGAAAATCTGCCGGGTTTTCTGGCCACTGGTTGTGGAGAGTAGATGTCTCTTGGCAATCTGGCTCCAACGATGCTGGGATCGAAAGTTCTTTATTTAACATGAAGTCGAAAACCTCGGCCCAGTCCCGTATGTTGTTCGTGTGGTCACTTTCATTGTAACCCCATGGCATGTTCGGGTTTCTGGCAACCTTTCGCTTCTCCTCAAAAAGAAAGTTTTGAAAACTCAGACATAACTCTTATAACTTCGGGCCAAAGGCCTGGCGCCACTCCGTGGTTTACAACCACAAAGAAGCCCCATTCCTTTAAAGATATGTGTACTTGAGCGACGATGTCCGCCAAGTCATGAGAATTTGGCGTCTGGAGTGGTGAAAGGTCAATTACAGGAACGTCTTCTAAGTATTTTACAGTGTCGGGCTTTGGCCGGAGGTGAGGTGGTACCATGGTAGAGGCCTCAATGGGTGGTGGGAGCATGACGGTTGAGTCTACGGCTGTAGGCATCTTCTCTTTCTTCCTAAGGTGTTTTCTCTCTCTGGATTTTTTCTAATAACTTTTTATTACTAGAAATTAGTCCTAATAGATTTTTTTTTAATAATATCTTGCCCAATAAGCTAATTTCTATTAAAAAGCAGCCTGCATTGCACGTTTGGTGTTTTAGGACAAGTTATAAGGTTTCGATTCCTAGACTTTCTTCACACAAACCCGAGATATCTACCACTAAGCAGCAGATACACGAAATGCCTACCACTAAGCTGAAGCCTAAAGGACTGAAGATAAAAAGAGGGAAAAGATAAAAGATGAGAAAAAAAAATAAGAACTTCACATTCAAGAAACTTCTCACAAGCACTTGAAAGTATTCTCTCAGTAGCTCTTTACTGAAGCACTGGTTTCCTATGATCAAGATGTACATTTTGTCCATTGCGTCCTCCTTTTATAAGTGGATAGTAAGGTGCAAAGTCCAGGAGGTTCATTATTAAAATTGAGATAATGAAAAATCATTTCATTTTTTTATTCGGAACCTTAGCCTGTTCTCGAAGAAAGATAGCAAAAAAAATTATTCCTAAAGTCGATACCAACAGGATTTTATACACCAATGCTTCCATAGATTCGTTCGTGGTTTACAACAAAATTATATATCGCTTCCATACCTGTTCATTTGTTACCTTGCTTCGTTTTTTTTGTTTCATTCAAAATTCTCCAGATTTGGTGGAGATCTGAGATACAAGATGACAATTTCTAGTGAAGATATTGCCTTCTTAGCATATACGATTGTACAGTATTTTTGGAAAAGGTATTGGTTGAGTCGTCCAACACATTCATGTGCTCTGATTGTCAAGGTTTTAGACTTGAAACATTTCTCAAATTCTCATGGATGAATTTGGAGCTTGAAAGGCAGTGCAAATATGATATCTTTTCAGGAGCTTGAAAGGCAGTGCAAATATGATATCTTTTCAGTAAAGATGAACCATTTAGAAGAAACAACAAAAGTAGATAAGGGAGAGCCTTTTATGTAACGCCACCCACATAAACTATATATGTGACTCCTGATCTTAGCCGTCACAATTGAGTAAATGGTTGAGATGGCTTGAATCACAATGTCACAAATTGGGTCGTAACGATCGTATCTTGATTGGACAGCTCATAGTTTTTTATTTTTTAATTTTTATTCTACAAATAATTTTGAAACAAAATTTGGGGCATGCATAGATGTGACAGGGATGCACATGATAAATACTATAAAAAAAATATTTTTGGTGGAAAAACATTACTAGAATACCCCTGAAAATTTCATGGGCATTTTTGTCATTTAGTTTTATAGAAAATATTTTTTTTTTATTTTTTCAGGTTCACCCTAATTTTATGATGGGACACCCAAAAACTATCTAAAAATGTTCTGTAAAAAAAAAATGAAAAATTAAGTATAACATTGTGGCATGAACAATTGTAGCTGTCGATTTTGAATCGAAAGGCTAAAAAGTGGGGTCACATATAACTTAGGGCAAGATTTCTATGCTTCCCCTACAACATAAAACATATATACTTCCTCTTATCCAACCGTCCATTCTGAATGGATGGCTAAGATTGCCCCAATCACAATGACACATCTCTACGCTGTTTTATTTTTATTTTTTTTGTTATAAACTATTTTGACACCAAAATCTAGACATCCACTTTCCTATTAAACTTGCACTAGCAAAAAATATAAAAAAATATATTTTCAATAAAATAAAATAATCAAATACCCCTGAAAGTTTCAAGGGGTATTTTTGTCATTATATTTTTTTCGAAAACATATTTGTAATATTTTTTATAGGTGCGCCCTAATTAGAAGATGGTACGTACCAAATTTCATATTCATACAATTTGTATTAAAATAACTAAAAATAAAATACTTTGTGACGTCGTATCTAAGATCAAACGGTGAGTGGATCTCTTGATCACAATTGGACGGCTGGATGGTAGGGGAAGTATGGATCTTCTATGCTGTAGGAGAAGTATAGAAATATTTCCCTATAATACGTTGTTGGGGTCACATAGAAACATTTTCCTTGCATAAAATAGAGGGAAGTTTATGCCCATTCTTTTCCAAACTAAAAATCCATGGCCATTGTAATTTACGCTCATTTCCTTGTTTTCATTTTTTTTTTCCACCCAAAATGCTATTGGTTCAAAATTTCAAAATCCGAACCAAAACTACTAACATGTCAGTTTGGAAATTGAAAATCCGAATGGGTTTTTTTGTAAACCTACTAGTATTCATATTTTTAAAATCTGGTGGAGAAAGAATTGAGTTAAGTAGGAGAGGATGGGGAGTCGGATTTTGAAAATCCGAATCCGAAACTCAAATAAAACCGTTAAAATTATGAAAATCTGAACTGGTAGTTTCACTAAATTCATTTGGAATTTCAATTTCTCAAACGATATGTTTATGGTTTTGGTTAGGATTTGAAAGTCTCAACCTATGGTATTCTGGGGAAAATAAAAAAATAAAGATAGGGAAATTAGCGTAAATTAAGACACTTTGGGGATAGATTTTACTGCCTAAAAACATACAAAATATTATCATAAACTTCCCTCAAATTTTTTATGACGTTATAACCTCCTACAAACCAAACCCAACTTAGAAAATTCTCTTTTAAGTCTTATAATTATGTCAGGTTCATGGTTTAGTGGTCCAAATTATTTTACTGAAACCCTAACCTTTATCTAATCAATACTTACATTCTTGATACGGTCATCGCCCAAAAAACAAGTGACGACTTAATGTCCTTTTGATGCACTGTTTTATATTTGTGTCAAGGTAGGATTCCCTCCAATTTCTCCCGAAGGTATGGACCTCACTTGTCATAGATTCACTAAATTCATTTGGAATTTCAATTTCTGAAACGATATGTTAATAGCTTTGGTTAGGATTTTTAAGGTCTCAACCAATGGCATTTTGGGGAAAAAAAAAAGAAAAAAAAAACGGGGATATGAGCATAAATTAAGACACTTGGGTCCTGAAAAACATACAGAATCTTAGCTTAAACTCCCCTCAAATTTATTATAGAATTGTGGAGTTTGAGATTCCATTACTAACTATTTTTCAGCGGCGACTCACTACAGTAGACGCACCTAAACCTTTAGTTTACTTATTGGGAGACACTTACATGAGGTCATATGCAAATGTGGATCATCAACATCAACATAGCCTTTTTCCAATTAATTAGGGTTTGCTACACGAACCCTGATCCGTCATTTGGTTTATTAAAGGCCATGGCCTTAGTGAGGGCATAAATCCCTATATCTTTTCGGATTATTTCGAACTACGTCCTATTGAGCCTATCTCATGCCCTTTTTTGTCCTTCCGTTTTAACTAATTTGCACCTCTTTACAGGTATTGTACTTGGTCGGTGCCATACATGGCCAACCCATTTAAATCTACTATCTCTTATCTTATCGCATATTAGTATCACACCTAAATTCTTCCGAATGGATTTATTTGAAATTCTATCCCTTCTTGTCTTGTCACTCATCTATCTCAACATTCGCATCTCTGCTACTCTCATTCTATGGGTATATTATTTTTCGTCCGCTCGATATACTATCTTATATGAACAAAGCTGGTCTTACCGTTGTCCTATAAAACTTGCTTCAGTTTTATTTGAATGCAGCAATCATAAAAAATTCCAATTACACATCTCTATTTTACCCACCCAACTCTAATTTTGTGTGGAACCTCTACCTCAATTTCTCCATTTTCATTGATTAACTACCCAAGTTAACAAAAGTGCAGTCTCTTTTGTACTTCCTGACCGTCAATCTTAACTACTTCCTCTCTTCTACTCCTATATTTATTAAACTTGCATTCCATATACTTTGTCTTAATCTGGGTAATTTTGAAACCTTTGGATTCTAGAGCATCTCTCCAAAGTTCTAACATTCGATTGACATCGTTTCGGGTCTCATTGACCAAAACTATTATCTACGAATAACATGCATCATGGTACCTTATCCTGTAAGTGCCTAGTTAGGTCATCCCATAACTAAGACAAAGAGGTACATGCTCGATGTTGGTCCTTGATGTATATCTATTTTCACTGAAAACTTACTCGTCTCTCCACTAATTATTTATACACTAGTTAGCCCTCCACTTATTATCGCTGAAAACTCACTCATCCCTCCACTAATTGTTCATACACTAGTTAGCGCTCCATCATACATATCTCTCACCAAGTCGATGTAGTGTCTGGAGACTCATTTCTTTTTCAAAACCTGCCAAATCAAATATCGAGGAACTCTATCATAAGAATTTTTTAGATCAACAATGACTATTTGGATATCTTTTCCCTTTGCCCTAAACTTTTTAGTAAGTAGCCTAAGTAGGAAAATATCCTCGTTATTGACCTTCCTAGCATAAAACAAAATTGGTTTCCAAATGCACTCGTTTCATGCCTTAGTCGTTGCTCACTCACTCTCTCTCAAAGCTTCATAGTATGGTCATAAGCTTGATCCCTTGATAGTTTGTGTAATTATGTATGTATCATTTGTCCTTGTAAATAGACAATATTTTCCTCCATTCGTCTAGCATTTTCTTTGTTCTCAACAACTTGTTGAACAACATCGTCCGCCAGCCAATGTCAGTCCCCCATTCACTTTCAAATCTCTATCGGGATATCTTCTAGTCCTTAAGCCTTTCGTATCTTTATCCTTTTCAAAGCTTTTTTTTGACATCATAATCCTACGAATGTATCTATGACATCCACTCTCATTCGTCCCAATAGTTGATTCTATTGCTAGGTTCCTATTGTATTCGTCATTTCATAATTTTTAAAAATAAACTCTCCACCTTTCGTTGAAGTCGTCATCCTTCACTAAAATCGTTTGGTCATCACTCTTAATGCATTTAATATTGTTTAGATTCCTACACTTTTTCACTTTTATTTTTTCGAATTTAAAGCATTTTTCACCTTCTCTTGTTCTCAGTTTATTGTATAGATTATCATATGCCTTTAGTTTAG